TTAATTAATCAATGTGACACTTCTAATGTTTTTACCTGCAGATATTCTCTTTTATGATCACAACAACACTTGTACAGCCTTGGCACGTGTCCAGCTTACTTCTGGACACGTTATTGTTACCTTAGTTGTTGTCTAAAGACCACGTTATTTGAGGTGCTTTCTTTTTCTTGCTCCTCTTCGTTCTTCTTTCCACGATAGTCCTGTATAGTAGATCTACTCTTGTTTGTTGGTTCCACTGAGGACTTGGCTTCCTCCCGGTTTTAACAAAGCTTCTTCTATTTGCTTCCACTTCCTCGTGTTCCTCGGAATCGTGTTGAATTATACTTCACTAACTACGATAACTTCTTAACGTGTAGTGTGTCTGGTTGACTTATCTAAGTAAGGATATTGTAAAAAATGTAGAGTATGGAGAGTAGCTGAAAGGTACGTAACAATAGGATACAATAGACCTCTTCTCAAGTACGGTTATCTCAGCTAGAAAAAGTCCCTAGCCTGAGAGAACCGAACTGAGCCTTTATTTGTGTTTTCACTAGACTCAGATTTACTTGAGTGTTTCTCTCACACGCGGGAGTTCCGGTATAGCTTACCGGTTCTACCGCTAATATTTCTGATGACTCTAATATCAGAAATATTCCAATCCTAATTCCAAAACTCAGTATTTGATTATTCTGGGATTTGGTATTTGGATTGGCTTTTTTGATAATCTGGTCCTTCTTCCCATCAATCTTTCCTGAACCACTACAGCGACTATGAGAGCCATACCATATGTTCATACATTGTATCATACATACTTGCCATTTTTGAAAAATTAAATATTATCCCTAGATGCTACATCAAGAAGGGGGATTAGGCCCAAAACAACCGAATCTCAAGAGCGAAGGTCATGCACAAACAATAAAACGATTGAATTTCAAATAGTCTTGTGGGATACAAAAACACAAACAAGAACACAGGCATTTACAAAACCATATAGAATCAAAGAAAGGTTATCGCGTGTACACACGCACATACACAATTCAGCAACACAGCACTCTTGATTGCACAACAATTACAGCATAGCACCCAGGAAGCAATCAACTGATAACGCTTAAAGACATGCAAAGTCAGCAGTGAATGTGTACCACACAAGAACACAATACCACACACACAAATATACACACAACTATATCAAGTGACAGAAACCAAACAATAAGTTCGGTACACAAACATCACTACATTGTCTAGTTGATGTCAATAAGACCGAGCTTCCTCGGTGACGTCAATAAGACCGAGCTTCCTCGGTGACGTTAATAAGACCAAACTTCTTCGGTGAAGTCAATATGACCGAACTACTTCGGTGACGTCAATAAGACCGAACTTCCGGGGTGACGTCACTAGGACCGAACATCTCATTGAGATCACGTGAGAAAATAAGTCCTCACATGACGGAATAAACACAAGTGACGTCACACGTGACAGAATAAGCTTGACTAACAAACACCGTTTTCACCCCTCATAAATACAGGGGACAAAGCAACAAGCTACCGAGCTATACAGCACGGTAAACACTTCCCGCGGAAGTGCAGCAAAGCAACAACAACATAAGAGTAAGTAAAATAAATCCCAATTTTTATATTTTTATATAAACGATTACTAAAGACCGGGGGGGTGGTGGTGGGTGGGGGGGGGGGGGGTTGAAGCGCGCACTTTCGCACAAAACATAACCAGAGTCTTTATTAATAATCCACTAATACTCACACAACAACGCAGACTTCTGAAAATGCCAACAGCAACCAGAACAAGCGTGTACAGTGGGGGGGAAGGGAATGAAGGCGCGAATGACGTGGGATTCAGTCCAATGGGGGGGCCAAGCCCAGACAATAGTTCGGGCCAACCTACATCGGCGGGGGTACCCATTGTAGCGTCAGCAATGCGTCTAGAAATAGACAAGAATGTCTGTCAAGGCAACTATGTTCTGGTGAGTCGGTTTGAAGTTGGAACAAACAGCACCGGTGCCCATACCAACTCTACACAAGATGAGGGTGGGCATTCGTGATCAACAGCCAGAGCGCCGCATGCCACTAGTGGATGCGGAGCTCAGACGACGATATGACCAAGCGATCAACGATTGTGGTCATGATGAGGAAGACAAACTTACCCAAATCAGTCTGTACATTAGTGAGCTAGAGCTCATGCGTTCACGTTTAGGCAATCAGATAAACGAACCATCGCTTAAGAAATTGCTCAAGACTTCGGAATTTCTTAAGATGCCTAAGGATAGCTTCTTTAGAATGGAAAATTGTGAAGATATCATAGAGTGCACTACACAATGTAGTGACCTATTCTTAGCTACGTCAATGCCACTGTGTCAATATCCAACACTAGTGAGAAGACTATTAGATTACACTGATGCAACGGAGAACACCAAATCAGTACTCAATAACTTAAGAGATTCTGAGACACATACGACTAGGCACTTCAATGATCCTGAGCAGTTCAATAGAGTCACCATTGATAGACTCAGATCACATCCAGTAGACTATCTATTAGAGAAGTCTCTCAGTGACATGCAGAATAAGAAGATGAACGTCGAAGTGCGCACAGAGCGAGTGCACAAGACAATGGCAATGTTAGAGGAGCGTTACCGCAACTCAGACAAGAAACCCATACACTTCTAAATCCTTAAATTACAAAGGTGCCTAGCACTTAAGTACCATGGACTGCAATCGGTAGTGGACATCTAATCAAAGGAGACAAGCAACCTGATGGAAGTGAAGGACACTTGTCTGACATAGAACATACCAAGTTTCATGTTATGACTGAGACAGGTATAAGAACGGCGGCTGTGACACAAGCAGAGCGTATGTTGAGGGATCAGGCGCGAGCTGGAAATAAGCGCAATAATACACAGACGAACACGCAGGTGGAGGATAACTCTACGAACGCTAACAAACGGCACAAGCCAGACAATGGTACACATAACCAGAACACGCAAGGGGGGTAGACACAGAAAAGGAAAGGACCTTACTGCCAGGCAATGCCTTCCCCACATCGGTACAGCGAATGTCCTGAGGAGAAAGCAAATCAAGCCAAGAAGGCTGAACAGCGAGCCAAGAAAGATGTGCAGATAGCAAAACTGTCCATTACATCTGGCAAGGTGGAGGACATCACACAAGGTGATGAGCACTGAAAACACTGGTGGGCGGAAGCAAACATGATTGATCTGGCTGATAGACTCAATATATTTACAGATGAAGAAACGTTGTTAATAAATGCAAATGATATAAATTAACAACCTTTATCTTTACGTCCCGCGCCACGAGACCAACGTTTACATATTGACATACAAATCAATGGCAATACATACTATGCACTAGTAGACTCGGATGCATAACGCTCATGCATGGACGAAAGTGTATCAGAACTATATCTTTCTGTTAGAGCGCAACCGGGGTATATACAGCTAGCACAAACAGATGCAAGAATACAACGCACTGGATCAACAGAAGTTTGTGACATAAACTATGGAGGAAGGAAGACCTCTCAGTGTTTTGAAGTATTGGACTTGCCAGACAAAAAGACACCAATACTTCTAGGTATGGACTTTCTACCATACATAGGTATGGACATTCTACCATACATAAGTATGGACATTCTACCATACATAGGTATATACATAGCAGGATTAATCAATCCACTTATACCAACAGATGCAAAATGGGAATCGCTCCTCACACCACATGAAGAGGACCCAAAGCATGAACAAGAAGGTTTCAGAGAGTCACTTACAGACCTCCTGGACACCAACGCGAATAGTCCTCCTGACGTTCACTGCAACCTACCAGGATCTACAGTCACAGTACCTGCAAATGAAATCAACGTCAGACAAATGAGGCACGCTAAAGTCAACTTTGTTCTGCACAAATACATTCTACAAACGGAAGAGAATGTGCAACGATGGCTTAAAGATGACCACATATACAAACGCGACATGCCCACAACGGTGAACCTACCGTTGTTATCAACAGGTGAACATGACCAAACAGGTCTCCTCAAGAAAGTAAGTACATGTCTAGACTTACTTGAGATCAATTATCAATATGAACAAGACAAGTTCGTGTTACCAAAAATAAAGGTAGTGTTACATAACCTACAAGAGACACAGTTCTTTTCAAAGCTAGATCTTACAGGAGGATTTCACCATCTCCTAGTAGACGAAGCAAGCCAACACTTCTTTACATTCTCGTGGAGAGGAGCGCAATACTCATTCAAGTCCGCGCCGTTTGGACTACACTCACTCACAGCACAATTCCAGAGAGTCATGGCGAATCTGCTCATAGATATCAAAAGAGTGCAAGTGTATGTGGATGACATAGTCATTGCGAGTCTTGCAGAAGAAGAACACCGCAAGACAGTTCGTGAATTGATCAAGCGACTGAATGGCGCAAACTTCTGACTCAATCACAACAAGTGTGCCTTCGCGGTCAAAGTGGTCGATATTCTGGGGGTGAAAGTCGCCACACAGGGACTCAAAGCAGACCATGAGAAACAGAAAAGACTGATAGACTGGTCACTACCCAGAACACAAAGAGATCTGCACAAGGCAGTGGGACTAGCAAATTACAAGCGAGACCATGTCCCCAACTTTGCTCACAAAATGAAACGCTTTCGGAACCTAATGAAAGGAAAAAGGAACCAAAACAAATCCATGTGTGGTAAATACGCGTCAATAACTATATCTCAACGTACTCCTCTCATCAGAGGTGAGTCGTTGGCTATTTATTGAACATTACTCGATTAACATCTGGTCAATTAGCGCATGTGCGTAATCGAATCAGAACCCTAAACTGGGTTCATGACCGATCCACAAATAGACCTTTATAACCCTAAATCATATATCTGATCACAAAATCCCTAATAACCCTAAATCGTATATCTGACCACACATGTTATGGACACCGGAACTAATAAACAAGTAGGAAGAACTCAAAGAAGCCATCGCATGTTCAGCGACGCTAGCATACCCTATTGATGGGGTACCGTTTCATATTATGAACGATGCTAGTGAGTATGGCATAGGAGGGTGTTTATTTCAAGTCATCGATGGAGTTAGAAGAGACAGTATCTACTTCTCAAAAGGCTTGAATCCAGTACAACAACGCTATGGCACAAATACCAAAGAGCTACTAGCACTGGTATACAGCTTGGAATATTTCTCCGAATACATCAAAGGGGGGGACATAACACTGTGGACAGATCACAAAGCGCTCACGCAAATAAACAGTCAACAGGCGTTACACCCAATGCTAGTCAAATAGATAGTGAAGACGTTCCACCACCATTTCTCCATTATACATGTCCCAGGCAAGGACAATCAGATGGCAGACATGTTGCCACATCTCCATGAAGATGCTTTTAGTACTAAAGAGTCAAAAGTATTACAAAATGCGAATGGGGCAACACATAATAGCCAAGAGTACACCACCTTGGAAACAAACATGCCCATAACCATATCGGCTATAGACTGGATACATCCCAGATTCTATCAAAAAGCGGAACGAAGGTTTGGGAAGTTCACAGTAGATCTGTTTGCATTGGCACACAATGCGCACACAGATAAATACTACACCAAAGAACAGAATGCGCTACAACTGAAGTGGGCGTAGGAAGTTAATGCATGGGCGAATCCACCATGGGAACTTACACCTGATGTCCTTGACAAAGTCATTGAAGAGGCTACCAGCATCACGATATGTGTACCATACTACCCCAATGCCTCGTGGTTTCCAAAGTTCTTGTCTTTACTAGAAGAAGACCCGATGCTAGTGGAAAATACAAACAATACTTTCCTCAAAGAGAGCAAGAAGGCTTGTGGCAATAACACCATGGAGTGTCACATTAGTCACAATGATAGGAGCTAAGTATACATACCTTGATTCAATGCGGGAACAATATGCTATAAATGTTGCAGCGTCAGAACCAGTTCACTCTGGAGACGCACCACAGACAACAGAATATGAGACACATGTCAATATCATCGAGCAATACCACAACTTGGGGCATTACACTCCTGAGGAAACAGTACACAAGTTGCAAGCAGATGGACATGATTGGGCAGATATCCAACAACATGTACACAAGTTCATTGACGGATGTATACCATGTCTCAAAAATAAAAATACACAAAAAGGGATTTCACCCCTTACAATCAATTACAGCCGCATATCCAAGCGACAGAGTCCAAGTGGACACCATAGGGCCTGTAGTTAAACGTGGAATAACAGTATCTCAACGTTCTCTCTCTGTTCAGAGGGAGACGTTGTTCTTTTATTCATTAAACCTTAAATTCAGAATCAACTTATTTCTGAGATATGTGCCGATCTAAAACTCTGATCGGTACAAACTAAGTTTACAGATTCTGATATTATAAACTAAAATAAACAAAACTAAAATATCACTATTAACCCTGTCTGGTTGAACACTAATAACCCCGTCTGGGTGTGTTCCGACCCCCCCCCCCAAGCTGAAGCACTATCTACCAGTGTGTCAGCTTTAGAGAAAAGGAAAGGAATACTCGTACCCTGACCGGCATGCTGGCATTTTATCCTCAGGGAGATAAAGCAGTGTGCTGGTATTTAACCTCAGAGAGCTAGAGGGCCCGAAGTATATGTCTCGAGCGCACTGTCGTTCATAACATATAAGTAACTATATACAGGTAAGAGTCTTAATCTGGTCGTGCGTACGCGTCTGCGAGTCCTTGTAGTAAGCGACAATATCGTTGGGGTCGGTAAAGGCCTCGGCTGTCTCCCACGTGGGGTCGCCCTCGTGCCATCGCACCAAGTATTCAAGGTTGCCTGTGTCATCGTTCGTACGATGCTTAATAATTTGGCGGAACTGAACTCCACCTTCTGCCCACAAGTTATCATCAAGTGGTGGGTCTGTACTACGATGTACTAATAGGAGAAGTCCAACACGGACTGGCTTGCCCTTGAATTCTGATGGTGCGGACCCGTCTTTGTTCGCTAACTCGTTACGTTGCCCGATTCTAGTCTTGATCACATATGGACCAAAGATAGGACGCATTGCTTTCGTCGTTCTGCCTTCCGAGCGCACCATCACTACGTCGCCTTCATCGAGGTGCACCAAGTCGTGGGCATCGAGACGGTCAAAAGTCTTCGTTAGCTTGCCCGTGTACCTCTTGGTGAAATGATGAAGCGTTGGTAAGATGGTATCCTGCATCTCATTTATTCATTGCGCCCATGTATCGTTAGTCACTGGTTGTGATTCCGGTACCGCATCAGTAAAGACGGCAAACGGTACGTGCCTGCGTCCGAAGTACACGCTAAAAGGTGCACTCTTATGCCTGCGAGAGATACGGAGGTTCTGATACAGCATCGTGAACGGAAGGCGTTCATCCCATTGAAGTGGTACCGCCTTACAGCATTGCCGTATTGATCGTGTAATATCTTAATGGCGACGCTCGGCTGCCCCTAAGACTTGTGGGCGATATGAGGGTGATACCTTGTGTAGCATGCCCACTTCCTGCACCGAGGTGTTCACTATCTTGTTCGTAAACTCTGGTCCCATGTCGGTTTGTAGTCGTCGTGGGAAACCGTGTTCACCGAAAATCTCTAACATTGTCTGTACCGTGGTCTCCTTTGTCTTGTCCGGAGTTGCACATAGAATCGAATAGCCAGTGGCAATGTCCAACACATGGAGAATGTACTCGTTCTTCCTCCACGATTCGATCGGCATAGGAATGTAGTCCATCTGAATGTGATCCCAGGGGTAGCGTGCGTCGATGCTAATCATCGGGTGGAAGCCTTTACGTATTGTGACCTGACCTAAACATGTACTACACTGTCGTTAAACCGTCGTCGCCAGTTCTAGAGCGCCCCGCCACACACGTCCATCGTTGCGGAGCTGTTGTACCGCATCGGCTGCCCCGTTATGGCCTTGCTCGTGCT